TATACAACTGCTCCGGCTCAATCTGCCTGGAGGGACTCTGAAAGTAATACAACTGCTCCGGCTCAATCTGCCAGGAGAGACTCTGAAAGGAATATGACTGTTCTCAAGAAATGAGTAAAGCATGGCAGCTTTTATAGGGCGAAAAGGAAGGAGATCATCATAGAGTCTGCATGAGCCATGAGTCATGAAAAAGGGCAAAAGTCTGTTGTGTCAGTCCAAACAGAACTTGGGAAGGCATAGCAACAGTATCTAAATGTATAAGGATGAAAGAAGCAAACGGAACTTTGGAGGAGAACAGAGGCCAGGGAGGGCATTGGCAAATGGATGCAAACAGGATCTAGAAAGGGTCATGACTGTCCGCATGACCTCAGTCAGGGTCAGGGAGGTACAGTACAACATGTGGGTGTTAGTTCTACATGTACATACAGGTGCGATGATCTAAACTAGCAAAGATATGTAGTATGCAATCCAGCAAGCGCAAGAGAAACACAAGTGGTGAGAAGTGATTATAATTAGCTTTGCAGGCTTGTCAGCAAAGGAGTGACAAGAGTCATGCAGTGCGTGTACGTGTACATGTGACATGATTAGAGGTCAGTAGATATAGATGTAGTACTAGTAGTACTAGTAGTAGTCAGCTACAGTTCAGTACTAGCAAGGCCGGGATACTACACCCTCCCTTCCTACAGATAATCACGCCCTCGTGATTTTTCCAAAGTATTAAACAAGGCTTGGTAGACTGATAATAACGTAGGGACCCTGTGTGTATAAATGTGTGAAGGACCTGTCTCTCTGTGGAGCTGTAAAAATGTATTATTGTGTTCTCGTCTCTGGACGGTAAAGAGGATGTGTAAAATCGCGTCACTGTGGACGGTAACAGTTCTTCATTCGCGTCTCTCTGGGACGGTACAACGGGAAAAGTAGACTCGCGCATCATGTGGCGGTATATCATGTTACATGGACTGGTTATTTGAGTGCGTGCTTGCAGGGTATACAGTATTTTGGGTCTGAAACTGATTGCTTGGTCGGTACGGGGTGGACATGATCGGGATGGGTGATGAAAAGGCTAGGAAACTTTGTGGTCAGAAACTTGAGAAAGCGGTCGTAGGGAAGCTTCAGTGCGGCGAAATGTTGAGTGATCTAGAACTGTGTACTGCATGTATCTGGACGGACATGAAGGTATATGGAGGGTTGTGAGTCCTAGGCTGTTGGTCGAATGGTGGGATTGTCTGTGGGATGGAGTGGCTGAAGGAACGTGGAGGGCTTTGTGTATCGCGTGTAGTGTAGCAAACAAACTAAAGGTGAGAGATGTTAGCAGGGGAACAACTTTGGCAGCAGAACGAGTTAGTGAGAGGAATATGGCAGCAAGGAGCATCAGGACAGAATGGAAACTACTGCTGGATGGGGGAGCTTGCATAATACGCGGCGTAGCTTGCACGATAGGGGTGGCATGTGTACTAGTAACAGTTGCATTTGACCGGGTTGATGATTGAGTAGGGATAGAGCAAGAATGGTGACATACCTGGGTTGAAGGGAAGATGTGCCGTGTATCGCGACGACGATAGCAATACGCTATGGCATGGCCAATCTGCTTGCAAAATCGGCAATATGGGCGAAGACGAAAGGGCCGACGTCGCTTGGGTCGTACATATACCGGTGGCTGTAGTCCAGGGACATACCGGGCATGGGAACTCGCTGAAGAATGATGGTGATCCATTTTGCCGAAATGCGTACGTGACGGCGTCGATCTGCTGTATGGATGGACTGACGAACCGGGATTCTGCATCGTTCTCAGGTCCTCATGGGTTTAGAAACGCGGTGGGGGCCAATTAACGGTGCTTTCCGCTCATCGTTCGAGGCTGCCATCAATGTAATAGGTACTAACAACGAGACTGACGACAACGATTGACTAAGGATGGTAACAACATAACAAGACTGAAGTTGCGTAAACAGATCTACAGGGACGAATTCACGCACCGCTGCCACCAGTGTAATAGGTAGGTTCGAATCTTACAAAGGAACGTCGTTAACTTTAACCACCGCTGCCGCCAGTGTAATACAGATACTAGGTGGGTTCGAATCTAGCAATTATAAAATTGAACCACCGCTGCCACCAGTGTAATAGGTCGCCGAGTGGTATCAGGAGGCACACACAAGAAGACTGGTTAATATTATGTTCTTCGGCTCAATCTGCCTGAAGTTATGTATACAACTGCTCCGGCTCAATCTGCCTGGAGGGACTCTGAAAGTAATACAACTGCTCCGGCTCAATCTGCCAGGAGAGACTCTGAAAGGAATATGACTGTTCTCAAGAAATGAGTAAAGCATGGCAGCTTTTATAGGGCGAAAAGGAAGGAGATCATCATAGAGTCTGCATGAGCCATGAGTCATGAAAAAGGGCAAAAGTCTGTTGTGTCAGTCCAAACAGAACTTGGGAAGGCATAGCAACAGTATCTAAATGTATAAGGATGAAAGAAGCAAACGGAACTTTGGAGGAGAACAGAGGCCAGGGAGGGCATTGGCAAATGGATGCAAACAGGATCTAGAAAGGGTCATGACTGTCCGCATGACCTCAGTCAGGGTCAGGGAGGTACAGTACAACATGTGGGTGTTAGTTCTACATGTACATACAGGTGCGATGATCTAAACTAGCAAAGATATGTAGTATGCAATCCAGCAAGCGCAAGAGAAACACAAGTGGTGAGAAGTGATTATAATTAGCTTTGCAGGCTTGTCAGCAAAGGAGTGACAAGAGTCATGCAGTGCGTGTACGTGTACATGTGACATGATTAGAGGTCAGTAGATATAGATGTAGTACTAGTAGTACTAGTAGTCAGCTACAGTTCAGTACTAGCAAGGCCGGGATACTACAGTAGTACAATGTACTTGTCGTCGATCCCATTGGCATTGCATGCAGAAATAAGCAAATAACGGCCACGACGTGCTACTACCCCAGGTAGTATACTGGGGACCAGAGTATGTCAGTACTTACGGAGCCTCGAGCCCTGCCCTGAAATGGCGAGACTCAGACACTCTGCCCTACCATGGCTTCGTGAATTGACCCAATTCCGGCTCACTGGGAGGTCCGAGACGTCCCATAACCCGATTAAACCAAGTGGCTGCAGTCCATATGGTGGCCACAAGAATCCACACCATCCGACCATCACCACGAAAAACGTCCTACACACAACACACAATGATTTCACGGTTCGCAGCTGGATCATGGAGGCCGAGTTTTCCGCATCCGCAGGAACACCACCACCCTCTAGGATCAAGGCGCAGATGCAGCTCCTAAGCGGTGGGAGGTGAGTAGATCAGACCCACTACTAGTGCACTACAAAGTGGTCAAAGACCTACACAAATTTGTAAAATCCCATTCGCTGCATCCATGTTTCCCTTGTGCCAGGCCACGAGTTCCCAACTGTGGGTCGCAGCACGTAACGGCTGGTAAAATCCTTCCGCTTCCAAGCAGGACTTGAACCTGGTAGATCTACCTTCGGTTTCTCAATCATGGTCTTAGACCATCCCACTATGCGGCTAGTATGCCTGCCTAAAAGTAAAACGTCCTACAGCAAAGAATTTCCAAAGGTACACGTGATGTCAAGATTATAAAATAATATTATTATAATAATAAGCTCCCAATTACCTTGGCGATATACATGTACATGATGCAAATTGCAGTCATGTACCAGGTCTCCACCTCAGTCCAGGAGGGGCGCCCGGCCCCAAGCGGCAGCAACCAAGAGCTTCACCAGTGATGACAACAGCAGCGGGGAGTCGACTCCCTGGACAGCAAGTACTACCGGTACATGTACATGTAGTAACGGGTTTAAGTAACATAGTTGTGCATTTACCGTAATTGGCTTCTTTTAAATAACTGGTAATTGGCTTCAGGATAATCGGCATTGTCATGCTGTTGAGTGTTCGAAGAACAAAATGCAAATGACCGACGGGCGGGAAGGAAGTGGTAAATTACTGCATGCATTAGCAAAGGCATAGTGGTGGCCGGCGGAAGCGAAGGCTACAGCTTGTGTGTTTCTGAACATTCAAGTGATGCTAACGCGGATCCCGCGAATATTATTATTAATATTAGCAAGAGCACAAGATCTCGCTACATGATTGTTGTGAATGCACGTGCGCGCGTGATCATACAGTCTGGTATGCAGAACCATGCAGACAGCGACAGCGTGGCGAGCGTCATAACGCCAAAGTAGCAGGTAGTTTGTCGTCTTTCTAAGTAAAAGTTACACGCGGTCATTATCACATGCAGCTGCCAGTAGCTACAGCCTGATCTAGGACACTAGGGGGTATCATCAGCTATTTACAATGACCATGATGACGTCCTGGACCCCCAGCAGTGCACAAAGATCTACTATTGCAGAATCACTGTATGACTTTTGTACTGTTTGCTTGCACTGTACAGACTTAGTGTGCAGTAGATTTAGATTGAAAAGAGCAAGGAATTTGCTCCGTGGCATGCGTCAGTCACGGATACGCCGTTTGACAGGAAAAGCTAATCGTCCACTTAAAAATAGGGCTACTTCATAGATGTATGCAATAGCCCGCCAATCATTCCAATCTAGCTGATATTTCAGTGGTCCAAAACAAGTCCCAAGCAATACAACCACACCGACTGAGCAATAAACCACACTGGACAAATTACCCTCTGTCCAAAATAGATCACTTTAAGCAGCCATGCATCCCCCTGTGGCGCTGGTGGTTACTGGAGGAAATAGAAAGTCGAAACTGATACCTACCATGGGTGCTGCGTGCACAAACACATACACACATCGATGGGGAGGACTGAACGAATCCTCTATTTCTCTTGCGGCATTCTGCGCATGGCAATGAGCGGGCACAAGTTCAGTCCGCAAAGAAAACCCATTTAGGCGAGGCGTGGAGGCGACCAGTTATGTCGTGACTCGTGGGTACTTGTGGAACAACTGGAGAACAGCCGGAGTCCACCTCCCTACCGCTGTGGCCACAACTGACAAAAAAATGTGTAGGTTTTTATGGCATCGAAACAAAATTTTAAAAATGATGCATGAGAAACACAGTGTTTTTGAAGTACAGGTGAAATCCTGATGATACCAAATACGGTAGTTGGAGGGGGACCAATCCTCCTGTTGTACAGTATTATGTCAGACTTGTCCAGTTTATAGTTTATAGTGCCTCCTCATCCATATAAGCCCCATCATCCATATAGACAATAAAAAAACGAGAAGAAGAATGTGCATCAAAGTATAACTAGTTTGAGGTCTCGAATAGTTATGTCCGCACATCGCCGGTACAATCACAAAGAAACACAAGTGGAATGGATGAGCCGACAGCAAGTTAATGTTTGATGTGAATATGATTGAATGTTGAGAAAAGAGGAGGAATAAAGTGGTAAAATCCTAGGAGTCTGTTGCAGTATACATCCTACTTGAAAGTCAGTTAAAAAATAGGGGTGAAGCGGTAGTGATCGCAAGGTAAACCATTCAAATCTTGAGTAGACCCAACGTGTACACTTATTTGCACGAGAACGAAATTGCTCGAGTTTCGGTTCGAAATTTGACGGAACGGGTACCTGATTCTCTTGAGCTGGCGGTTCCAAAACCGGTTCCTGACCCGAACCGCCCCCCGTTACTAGACTGTAGACCGTTGTTGATAGGAAAGCAGCGCAGCATCCACTCATTTCAGAATACTGACAGATCCACCAAGGGCTCCAGCAAGCTATGGGCTTTTTCCAGATCCGACTGGAATCCTTTCATATGTGTGCGGCACTGGTCGCGATGCACGAAAGCACACAGTGCGCTCGGTAGGGACTCCATCCGACCCGGTGTCTGCATAGGACAAAGGAAAACAGTGCACTTACAGGTGGACTGCAGACAAGCACTCCCATCCCAAGGCAACCACCTGGCCTGGAGTGACGGATGGCGTAAACTAAAGCACAACATTTACACCAGGAAGTGTTGTTTCTTGTTGCCATGGTTTCCGCCTTGGGAGCAGAGTAGCGTAGAGTACTGAGTCATGTGTCGCTTTCTGCATCAGGCTTTAATGCAAACCAGGCTTGTATGCAAACAATGCTTATATGCACCACTGATATTTTTGGCAGGCTTGTATGCACATCGACACGCGTAGATCTACCACTGACTACCGGTATGGCGGCAGTTTTACTATGCACCGTACATAGCGCATGCACTCTTGACCTACCCGATCCGTGCTTGCATAGAAGCCAGGCTTCTACACGCGACAGGCTTATTATATGCATTTGACCCGTTTGATTTTCAGGTTTCTATCCGCGATGTGCTTGTATGCAAACCCGGCTTTTATCCGCGACTTTACGGTAACCCCCCAAGAGTGTGCAACTCCCACACACCCTGCTGTCCCGACAGAATTTCAAGTTGATGTCATTATTTATGATCAAGAGTACATAACCCCCCAGAGTGTGCAACTCCCACATACCCTGTTGTCCCGACAGAATTTCAAGTTGACGTCATTATTTATGACGCAATGCTCCTTGCAGCAGTGATTTACAACATGTGTACGGGTGTCAACGCATCACACGTTTTTCTTTGCAATAATTTGTACAGGATCGATCGGCTTCGGTCAACCACAGGTTCCGGATTCGTCTGAGAATCCCTGTACAGTGCGCATTGCATCATCAAAATGACGTCAACTTGAAATTCTGTCGGGACAGCACCCATAGTGGAGTTGCACACTCTGGGGGGTTATGTACTCTTGTTATGATGCAATGCTCCTTGCACCAGTGATTTACAACATGTATACGGGTGTCAACGCATCACACGTTTTCTTTGCAATAATTTGTACAGGTAGACTCCCTTTAATTCGAATACGGTATAATTCGAACATTCCGTGTAATTCGAACTTTTTCGTCGTACAGATCTTCTGCAAGTCACTTCAAGTCAAAATCGAATGCATAATTCGAAGTACGAAAAGTGCGCCGGTTGGATAATTCGAACCCAGTCTTCGTACAGAAGAGCTGTTCACAGTACATTGGCTATGTCCTTTGGACGCTTATTTCGAAGTGAGATTGAGTTGCTATCCTTGTAATTCGAAGTTCATTCTTTTCTCCTTCTCTAGCCAAGAGTAGCTCAAAAATCGATCAATGGTCCGCTGCAGGATCGACTACAGCGTTCAAGAAACCCACCTCTCGAAATTTGATTCAAGCCCGTGCGAAGCAAATTGCAAAGGTTTGATTGAAGACGACTTCTTCCAGGTGGCTGACTCTCTTCGCAGATCTCGATGGCCTTTCTTGCCGCGCCAGCTCGTGCGCAGAGATGTTGGCGCACAACAACACTATTGTCGTAAATATTGTCTTTGCCTATGCTCCACTTCCGTTCTTCAGAACGACGTGCTGCTGTCCGACGGCCTTTCATGACGCGGATTAGGCAGCGCAGTTCTTTTCCGTTGAAATTGTTTCAGGAAAGCTGCAGTGACTGTTACTTCTTCACTAGAAGATGAAGATAATGTCAAAATGATTTTGTGTCGATCCAGTGTTTTGATGATCCGTTGTACATGACCGGTACGCGTATACGACCACCTATGTTTCGTTGATGCAAATAAAAATGTGCAAAAAATAGTCATAAAATGGCAATAAATAAGATAAATTGTGCACTCATAACAACAGCTAAAATGAAGAAAGTCAAGTTCCATAACGTTTTCTTGTGACGAAATGGAACTTGACTTTCTTCATTTTTGCTGTTGTTATGAGTGCACAATTTATCTTATTTATTGCCATTTTACGACTATTGTCTCCTCGTCGATTGTTTAAAAAATAGTCAGCATGCGATTTCAAGCATTTTGACATACATATCAGTGCATGGGGCTGCATTTGGATAATAAGAAGTTCTGGATAATTGGAAGTTAGGGCCTGGCAATTTGAGGTTCGAATTAAAGGGAGTCTACCTGTACAGGATCAGTTGGGTTCCGGATTCCTCTGATAATCCATTGCATCATAAAAATGACGTCAACTTGAAATTCTGTTGGGACAGCATCCATAGTCGAGTTACACACTCTGGGGGGTTGTGTACTCTTCGTTCTAGGAATAGAGTTGTTCTCTTCTGGAGTACTAGGGTTATTGTCTCTCTTGGCAAACACTCCAATGTGCAGGCCTACTCATATGAAATCAGTAGCTACATGCAGCTCTATAGTCTACACTGTGTATGCTACAATGCAGGCACAGGGGCATAATGCCGGTCAAACAAGCTACACTGTGTATGCTACAATGCAGGGATGCAGGCACAGGGGCATAATGGTCAAACAAGCTCCAAGAGCAACATGCAACACATACCACATCGAGGTTACTTGTGAACACCAGTATGGCTTGGGCTAGGGGTAGGAACTGCTGCCCTGACATCGTGACCAGGGCGGGGATATTCGTCATGGGTAATGCCCTGGACAAGCAAAGAAACAAGAACGACAAGGAACGTTAGCAAGTTACTCGCAAGTATGATTTACACGTAGACACAACCTATAATGGACATACAGTCATACACGAATGCCAGGCACATAGTCAATATCTGAAGAACTTTCCAAAGTCTACACGCAAAAAAGTACCAGTAGACTTATAAAAAAAACTCACCTCAAAGCTCCCAGCAGTTTGTTGACCTCAGCGAAGAGATGAGCGAGGTGCTGGCGGGCAATAGCCACACCACTCTCGAGCTGCTGTACCTGCTCGACTCTGCAAATTGATGGACAGGAGATCCAAGTACAGAACAACATTATAAATTTAAACCATTCTACCAGTAGACCCAGCATTTTACCTTTAACCGAGTTTACTTTGATCAAGCAAACCCTTTGCAAATAATCATCGCCGAAGTCAAGTTGACACGACTGTGGAACAGTGAACTAGTGGTACTGTAAGGAGTTCGTAAAGAGAGAGAGAGAGAGAAAGAGAGAGAGAGAGAGAGAGAGAGAGAGAGAGAGAGAGAGAGGGAAGGGGGGGGGGAAGGAGGTGGAGATGGAGGTAGACGGAGACAGAGAGCATCTATAACAGCAATAGAGCTATCACTGAAGTCAGGTTCGAATGTATATGTAGTAGATTGATGGTCAAGTGCCGACTGCCATTGAAGGCACTGCTATAAGCTACACAAGGGATTCGTGGGAACTGCTGGGACCAGAAGAAAGAAGAGTGATGTTTGCCCGGTCTGTGGATGAGACTAGACGCAACCATGCAAAAGTATTTCATCTCCTACTTTCCCCTGCACAACGAATGCAAGTTTGATCTGGAAAGTGAGTGACAAAATGCAGGAAAAGTAAAGACAATCTAAATTGTAAACCTACCGATATGCTTCAATGCATTTGAGGATTTCAAGGAACAATTGAACCAGGTACGTTTCAATGTTCCAGCCAAATTTGGGAAGAGCTTCAAAGTGTTCCACTCCCAGCCGGGAAATTGTATACCGTCTGAAGCACAGCACAAAACAAGAATCAATACCGTTAGCATGGCACATTACACACAGTCTACGGCATGTAAAAAAAACTTAAAAAATGATCGCGCCCGTTCCCAAAGGGAACTCACGACGGCCGCTGACGCCCAGTAAACCCTAGCGGCAGATGCAGCGCCTAACGGTGGTACATGGACATGTGAAGAGTTTTAAAAGATGCAAAAAGGCGACATATCCGTTTCATCAATTCTCGGATATTGACCAAAAAAAGGATTCAACTAATTAAATACGTGGGGTGTACATCTAAGATTCTAAATCCATATCGGGGTGCCAGTTTTGAAGTAGCTATTGTCCGAGTTTGAAAGTGAAATATTGTGCGAGGGTACCTCTCGACCTGTTGATTACACTGAGCTAAAAATCTTAATTTCTCAAATTTGGCGCTCGTCGCATTTTGTGTCTAAACTCTTCCTGTACATGTAGTATGTCAGTAGAGCAACATGAACAGAAACAACCCATGTAGCCAACATGAACAGAAACAACCCATGTAGCCAACATGAACAGAAACAACCCATGTAGCCAACATGAACAGAAACAACCCATGTAGCCAACATGAACAGAAACAACCCATGTAGCCAACATGAACAGAAACAACCCATGTAGCCCCAGTAGAGGCTTGAATGGTTCAGGAACACATTGATATTTGTGTCGCCTATATTACTTCCTGTTCTGCTGTAGGGGAGGAGGGAGCAGGAGGAGGGCCAGGAGCGGGGGCAGGAGAAGGGAGGAAGGAGGAGGGAGCAGGAGAAGGGAGTGGGGGCAGGAGGAGGGAGCAGGAGGAGGGAGCAGGAGAAGGGAGCAGGAGAAGGGAGCAGGAGGAGGAACAGGAAGCAGGAGGAGGGAGCAGGAGGAGGGAGCAGGAGGAGGGAGCAGGAGAAGGGAGCAGGAGAAGGGAGCAGGAGAAGGGAGCAGGAGCAGAAGCACACTTACATGTCCATAGGCTTGAACGGCTTCATGATTGAGCTGACGGTGTTCAAGTACTGCTTGCACTGGTCCGCCGTGGCTGGCCCGTCTGCAGGCAGTAGAAGAGCAGACGAAGAATGCACCATACCAGTACCAGTCTAACTATCAGCACATACTGACACATGACACATGACACACGGCACTACGGTCTTGTCAGAACGAGTTTGTACTGGTGCGGCAAACTCCGGGAGGGGGCAGGGAGTCCTCGTGCAAACATTTGCCGTGGGCGTTCCTTAAAAAACCTGGAGGCACCATTGCAGCAATTACAGCTCGGAATGAGCGCTATAAAAAGAATTAACAGGGCCATCATTTCCACGCACACACACACACACACAAAGTAACGTTGTCAGTTTCGAATCCAGAATATTTTCTCGAAATGAACTAATTCCTTTGCAGTGAGAGACTGAGAGGAGTGGAAGAAGCTTTCACAAGTGCATTCCTGAAATTATCGGTAAAGCTCAAGCTGCACACGGTGTAATTCGTAACCTGACACCATTCTTCACCAACATGAACAACATGCTCGGCGTTGTGTGCTTTAGTCACACATTGGATAGAGTGGGAGAGTACTTTAAGATTCTGAGCACCATCAAGTTCGTGAATGCCTGGGTGTCACTCTTTGCCCATTCTTTCAAGGTCCGAATTGCATTCCGGGAGCAGACAGGTGTGAGTACGAAGCTGCTTTGTCAAAGATCAACTGGTGCAAGAATTGGAGACGATCATGACGAGTTGAACTGTCAAGGTATGAGCGTTATGCAGTTGTAATCTCAATCATCTCCGAGTTTTGTTCCAGTTGTACTTACTCGTACATAATGCTGCATGCTCATCGGGTCCGTACCCTCATCCAAGTGGAGATGGCAGCAGTCATTGACATCAGCAAAACCGTCGTCCGTGTCACGTACAATCTCAAGGGAGACGGCCCATTAGCGCTAATAGCGTACAAGACTATCAGCGTCCTACAGCACACTGTGGAGGTCGGCAACCATCACCACCTATCTGCACTATGCAAGCGGCTTCTGCCCAACAATAATAGCCATAGCCAGTAATTGAAGGAGTATGGACTTCAATGTGTTCAGCCAGGAATCAATCATTTCCCGAAGAAAGTTTGTGGGCAGTGGCGTAGAGCGTGTCCGGTTCCAAAAATAATGAAGTTCTTCAAACTGGCCAGCCTGTTCCACCCTGTGCTGATCGTTGAACAGAGGCCACCAGGCAACACATTCCAAGACCTTCTGTCGGCGCATCCAGCAGTGGCAGCCCTAGAAGTGTAGTATCCCTCTGCCTGGCTAGTACGGAACTTTACCTGACGTATATTTAGTGTATCCCCGTACGTTAGCGTACGGGGTCTGTTGCATAAAAGAAATCCAACCACCAGAATAAAGAAGCGCCGCATTCGAGTGCACAGACCAGTATGTGTAGTGCTGGGGCTGCGTAGCGCCTGGTGCCATTTTATTCATGAGGTTGGATTTCTTTGGCCAGCATTGTACATGCAGCAGCACTACAGTGGTGGTGGCGGTGGCGGCAAGTGAAGTCTCCGACCTCAGAGCTACACGTATAACCGGCCCTGTGGCATGCGGCCCTAGCATTTACAAAAGCTGAGGTGTGAGTGAGTGTGGTATTGTGTTATTCACGAGGTCACATGCTACTTGCCACCAATATATGCATTGCACATGGTTAAAAAAACTTGAAATGCAACAAAACATGACGAGCGGCCCTTACATTGTATATTGTGCAATAGTCCCCGGAGACTCTTTGCAGCATCAATTTGGTGTCTGCTCCACTTGTCAAATAAGTGCCAGTACCTGCAAGCAGAGACCAGTAAAGGAGAGAAACCGAGCGAAGGAGAAAGGAGAGAGTATGAGAGAAAGACACGGAGAGATGGTAGTTTTCAGTTGAGTACGCATATCAATACGCACATGGCAAAGTGATTTATTTTTTCATGCATGTCTACTGCACACAATAGCACACATCAAATCCGGATACATGTATCACACATTACCTTACAAGGCTACAAGCACATGCCTCTGGCTGCGAACAGCGATAACCTATCTCATAGCCCAGGCGTGCACCTCCCATCATCCTATTACAAATCAGTGGATATAGTCAGTGGGAGAACACACGCATCCACTAGTCATCGCAGTGGGACATAGCTGATGCTTGGTTCTGCCCCAAAGAGAACCCTTTTTCCGTATGCTAGCACTGTACTTGACTGAACATTGTGCAATGTGCGTGAAACTCAAGAGTTGCGAGAATGCCTTGATCCGTTATTGTTGTTGTTGTCGTCGTCGTCATCATCATTGTTTCTCCGGCTCTGACCCCCCTGGGTTACTGAGCCCTCTAGCTCTGTGCATACTTGGGGCTTCCCCCGTGTGCTTATGCTAGTACTGTAATGCACATACCAAAAGTTCCTGGAGTATGCTCACTACTGTGTTGGTGCAGAATTCCTAGGTAACTTCACACTCAAATCCTTCGTACCTGCTACACTCCAGGTATGAATGGTCTCAATTTCCAAAATTTCCCAATTTCAGTCATAAAAACGGGTTGCGCACAAACTGACAGTCTTCCTCTTAGGGGCCATCCGTAATTATCGATCTTTTTCACGAAACGAAAAAGTTTCGTTTATGGGTGGGTGGGTAGCGACCGGTTTCGTTTTGAAAAAACATCGAAAGCGGAAAAATCAACGCTCACTGCATGCATTGATGCATGCATACATTGTGTACATCGAAGTAGATCGACAGTTGACTCTACGTCGCGCGGCCAATTGGCCAAGCAAGTGTTGCATGGATGCACTGAATTGATACCACTCTGTACTCAGTGCAGTGAGTTCCTTTCGTCCTCGGATGACTTCTCCGACGAGGACCTAGCAGTCATCATGGTCATTCACTCTGGGACCGACGACAGATAGATAAATACTTCGCTCCAGCCGCCGATGCAAGAGAATTTCAAATTACGGAGCGGGGCGCAAGCCAAGTAAATTCTCACGCAAATATGGGGAGCGCCAGCCGCTGAAGACGATGTCGTCGTAATGTACCTGAAAGAATCTGATCGTGCTTATGGTGGGGAAGCCATGGAGAGTGATCCCCGTGTCGACAGTCTTCCAGAGACGGAAATTTAGGCCATCGACTTTCTACGTACCTGATTGACGGCAGCGCAGCGCGGCGTGCGTGCGACCTTACGGAGCTTTCCGACAGCGATTCTGGGGCGATGCTGCTCTCATTTGCGAGCGAGGCACGACCACTGAAGTCTGTGATAGCTATGGCGTTTGTTTCCGCTCCGAAGTCGACTTGTTTTGGCAGTATCATGTCAATGTCGGAACTCTGACGATTTGCAAGTGTACAATTCCCGTGTTTAGACGTAGAGGTGCCAGCGTATGTGTGTGGTAGGTGAAAGTAAATGTTTCCATGGTCAAGAAGTAGTACCAGACTTCAAAGAAAACATAACTTGCTTGCACAATCACACAAAATGTGGCCTCGCTGTGTTGCAACAGCCAATCAAGATCATTTTCTGCACGAAGTCTCAAGTCAATAAATATTTTCGTTTCAGGGGGGTGGGTCATAACTAAACTTTTTCGTTTTGTGAAAAGGATCGATAATTACGGATGGCCCCTTAGCATTGTCAAGGATTTATTTACGTACAAGTAGGTCGTACTTGTAGTGGATCTGGGTCCATATTTGTGTTATAGTGTTTGACCTTTGTCTATGCATTATCTACCCCATTGCCATAAGTCATTACAGTACTGGCGCACCATCAGTACTTATCCATCACGCGCACACACATGCACGCACACATGCACGCACACATGCACACACACACATGCACACACACACACGCACGCCTGCACACACAAGCACGCCTGCACGCCTGCACACACACATGCACACCGATGGCCACCTCTCGGCATGCCTGTTAGAAGAGTGAGGTAGCAATGCACAGTGCCCCATGACAATATCAATCCACATACTTCTCCATCATGTCCAATAATGCCAAAGCGTCCCACTGGGCAAAGCCTGCTGCCATCCTGGGCTTGATCTTCACAACATCTTGCCTGTAGCAACAGGACAACAGAACATACAACATCACGGACACCTCAACATACTGGTTCATGTATGCCACCAGCACAGAGCTAAGACATGATCCGCTTTGGGTGAGTAGCTATCACCTATGCTCTCCCCCGAAAACAAGCCATGCTCGGGTGTGCACTCCAATCAATTACCTATGACTTGTATAGTAAAGAGACGGATTTCCTCTCATACTCCTTGGCTACTATCTGTGGCATGGCAAGTTAGTTGGGTGCCACAGATTGATAGTCATCACTTATGAACCATCTCAAGCCGTGTGTGTGTGTGTGTGTGTGTGTGTGTGTGTGTGCGTGTGTGTGTGTGTGTGCGTACCACGCCAAGCACTCTGGCTAGCGTTGGGGAGGCTAGGCATTCCTGAAGGGCTCCTCAATCTAATCCAATCGTTCCACGAGAGCATGCAGGCAGCTGTGCGCGTCGGTGCCAGCACTACCGAGTCGTTTGCGGTCAACAATGGCCTCCGTCAAGGCTGTGTGATGGCCCCAGTACTTTTTTAATCTGTACTTCGGTGTTGTGCTTGAGCGGTGGGCACAAGTGATGCAGGACAGCGACCATCCACCTGGCATCCCCATCCAATTTAGCATCAATTGTAACCTTTTCTCTAAGCCCGCTCGTCAGTCTACTGCCGCAATCATCAACGACATCGGGTACGCAGATGACGCAGTCTTGCTTGCTGAAGACCGCCCTGGTGCTGAGAAGTGCCTTGAAACCTTCTGCACGGTTGCCTCTTCCTTTGGCCTCTGCATCAACGCAGCAAAAACGAAATTTCTCGTGGCAGGTAGCCAAGTCGACATGCCTGATAGAGCTGATATGAACGTCAACGGTGATACTGTGGAGCACGTTCCATCCTTCATTTATCTGGGGTCCGTCGTGACACCGGATGCCCGCTCCTCCACTGACGTCAGTTGCCGCGTAGCTGAGGCTTCCAAAGCCTTTGGAGCTCTTCTTCCAGTCTTGTCGGATCGCTCGCTGTCATTAGTCAGTAAGCGAAAGCTATACGTGGCCTGTGTCCTGTCCATTATGCTGTACGGCAGTGAGTGTTGGACGCCCTTGAAAGCTGATAGTAGACGTTTGGATGCCTTCCATCATCGCTGCATCCGCACAATATTAGCCATCCCTCGCAGTCAGCAGCAATCCGATCGCATCACGTCTGCGCAGGTACGTCGTCACTGGGGTGACCCAGTGCAACTCTCTGTTAAGATGCGCCATCGTCGTTTAGAGTGGCTTGGTCATGTGGCTCGGATGTCGGAGGACCGTGTCCCATTGCAGCTTTTGTTTGGTCGTTTGTTGGCTGCGCGCCCCTTCTGCGGTCCCAGGCGCAGGTGGAGAGACGTTATGGCTACTGACACGAGGTCCATTCCAGACTGGTTTGATTGCGCTCAAGACCGGTCAGCTTGGCGAGAGCAGGTTCTGGTTTTTCAGCCTCCTCGGGCAGTAGAGAAATCCGTACTCTGCACATCTTGCAACCGGGCTTTCTCTCGTCCTCAAGACAAGGCACGGCACAAGTGTTTGGCTGAGCGCCAACTTCCCGTCCACCAACAGCGTGGTTCAGCACAGTGCGTCAGTTGCTGCCGATGGTTCCAAAGTAAGGGTGGGCTTGCAGTTCATCGCTGCCAGCCTGCACTCCCTGAACATGCAGATACAGCATTGACGGCGTCTCTCGCTAGTTGCTGCTTTCAGCATTGTCAACGCTGCAATCGCTGCTTCAAGTCCCGGGCTGGTTTTAACCGCCATAACTGCAACCGTGGAAAACGTCTCGCTGCAGCCGATAGGGAGTCACTGCCGCTGATCTGCATGCATTGCCCAAAGCGTTTCCGACGACAGCAAGACTTGACGAGGCACCAGAAGTCCTGCCAATGACGGTGCCTTCCAAACTCTGGCCCCCTCCGGGGGTGACATTACCCAATGGGCAGTCATGCTATAGTAGTAGTAGTAGTACAGTCAAATCTGTCGTAAGCGACCGCCCCTTGGTGCAAGAAAAAGCGGTCTCTTACGGCAGATGTATGGTAAATCCAGTAGGGGTGAAACGGTTACCCATTAAGGTTACAAATGGGTACCTGGCTTAACGGGCGGGTTATCGGGTACCCTTTAGCAGCCAATAGTGACAGTTACTATACATTTTCTGCCAGGAGGACATGCAAAGTCATGCAATTCACAGCAAGTGCACTACATGGCGACAAGCGCAGCATGCACACTTGCTGCGCTACATGCAAAACAGTCAAAATTGTCTAATTTAGCAGGATCGAACAAGCAACAACACATTCAACCTGTACATCAAATTGAACAACTGTGCAAATCAGCTAATATTACCGTACTGTACCGTCGTACACGACTAACGGGTACTCGTTTGCTAACGGGTCAGCAGCTAAACAAACGGGTACCCGGGTACCCGGATCACCCCTTTCACCCCTAAAATCCGGCATACCGGGCATGCATATAAATATTCTTCCATGTACTCAAATCGACGAGAATAATGTGATTTTTAATATCATTTTATTGGATATATAGTATAGGGGTGCCAGGGCCAGTCGATCGCACTTGATAGACAGCGCATTTTCACACCTTGCAGTTGACAGCGCACTGGCAAGTACAGTTTCGCACCTGACTGAACGTGGGTCGCGGTCGCTTACAGCAGATTTGAATGCAGCCACCGTGCATGAAATCGCGGTCGCTGGTCGCGCACAGCAGATGGTCGCTCTGGACAGATCAATTTGTATGTGAAACCGTCGGTGCACGGAAAATCGGTCGCTAACGGTAGATGGTCGCCTACAGCAGAGGTCGCTAACGGCAGATTTGACTGTAGTAGTAGTGTGTGTGTGTGTGTGTGTGTGTGTGTGTGTGTGTGTGTGTGTGTGTGTGTGTGTGTGTGTGTGTGTGTGTGTGTGTGTACATGCATGCATGCGTGCATGCGTGCGAGCGCGCGTGCGTACATCTGTCAGCAAGCGGAGAACAGCATAACAGATGCCACACACATTAGTGACATTTCAATGACTTAACTTACCACACCGTCTCACCCCAACCATCCTTCATGTCTTCCACCACGATCATAGACAAGATGTTTTCAACGAGAGCATGAGTGCAGCTACTGGTCAGGATAATGGATGCTTGGCAATCTTCTCGGGTGTCCGTTTTCCTCTAACAATGGAGGACCGAGATCAAACACAAAAGCAGAGTTACAAAAAGCCAAACATTTCCACATTAACATTCCATACACCATCCAGCCAAACAGCATGAACGGCATGAACAGAGCTCCGGGCTCTCTCATCGGATAGTTCCCTGGCTGTGCTTCACTCTAATCTGTACATGAGTGGCTGGCTTCCTGAAGCTCTAGGGCTCGCACCTTGATATAGTTGAAGCACACCAGGAGATTGCTGGTACAGTGAAGGTGCCAGAGACTAGCCCACGGCAACGCAGTTAGGAGAAGTTCAAGGTGAGATTTGATGCTGCATCTGACATGACCAAGCTACATGCTCGTCCGTCTCCTATGGTTCCAAGGCAGGCAGCCAGACCCGACGTGCCAATGTCCCAGCTGCTACACCTGAGGAGTACAGGAGAAAGTCTGTATTTATTCCATTCCTGGATATACGCTGATAGCAGAGTTGACTGGACGGCTTTTACTAACGTAATTACATAGTGCGGCACCTCTCTATTATTTCAGATATTGAGATTGGCACTGGCATTGGATAAACTGAATATTAACAAACCATTAGAAACACAATTATAGTCAGTAAGTGCACCTACCGGTGCTGGATCCTGCTGCTTCTTGATTGGAACTGCTTGGGACAAAGCAAGACACAAAGAATAAAGCAGTCTTTAAAAAAAATGCATGGCTTGCGTAAGAGTTAGTCAAACTGAGTTTTGCACAAGCGTTGGAACGCCATCACCTGACCACCTTCGAGGATATAGGCTGAGCTGGAGCAGAAAACGACTATGACGACGCCAACAACGACAGCAACGATAGCAATAAAAGCAGCCGCAATGCTTATACACGTGTAGCAAACACTTGCCTGGCACCGCTGCTATGCTTGGTGTTACTTTCTTGCCGTCATGTTCACTTATGAATGCCTTTATCTCCTATCACACATACACACATTACGCACGAAAGAGAGAGAGAGAGAGAGAGAGAGAGAGGGGGGGGGGGGGACGGTTAACGTTAGCAACTACTAGGTACATCCACACAAGTGCACTCACATACTCATGCACACACTCACGCACATACGGGCGCAAACCCGCACACACGCATGCGTAAACAAGTGAAATGCATATAAATTCCCGTGACTAATGATAAGGCCCTCTTCAGACTAGGTACCAAACAGCCTATAAGTCACATTTACATAGAAGTTTCCAAGACAACAACAAGAATCTGGCGGGAAGCCTAAAAAGCTGCGCAATCCTTTCAGGCAGGGTGCCAACCCTTGTACAAGGCAACTTTCCTGCATTTATCGTACTTTCACCAGGCAGTTGTACGAACTTTGTACCCGGGTACGACTGTCCAATGCTTTCACACATCCCAGGCCCCTTGCGCAATTTCGTAGGGTCAAAGGTTGCCTGTATATTGCATGTAAAATGTGTAGTCTGAATGCAGGCATGGAAAAATGTTGCCTTTTAGGTTTTATGTGATTTTGTACTGGATTTTCTATGTACGTAGTCTGATGAGGGCCTAAGCTCCGGACATTCTACTTACTGCATCCGACACATGAGGGACGCTAAATGATTCCGCTTTGTTAAACATATTGATGTCGTTTGTCCAGAGGAGGACATTAACTCTAGGGTCTGCAAAACAAACAAAGAGAAACAAAAAATGGAATATCAAACACCAAGGAACACTACTAGTATCCAGACAGCAACAATGTCACAAGCACTTGAGCAGGAGAACCACACTCAAAGGTTCCAGACAACAATGTCACAAGCACTTGAGCAGGAGAACCACACTCAAAGCTTACAGTCAATACTGTAAGTCTACAAATTTTCGGCCCACTCAAATTCCGGCCTCCCAGGGCCAAAACCCATTTCGGCCCACTCAAATTCCGGCCTCCCAGGGCCAAAACCCATTTCGGCCCACTCAAATTCCGGCCTCCCAGGGCCAAAACCCATTTCGGCCCCCTCAAATTCCGGCCTCCCAGGGCCAAAACCCATTTCGGCCGCATCAAATGTTCAGCCTGTACTGCTGCTGCCTGTATACACTGTCACACGGAACCTTGCAAAACGAAATTTCGGCTGCAACAAATGTTTGGCCAAACATGACCAGGCCGAAAATAAATACAAGTACTAGTATGCGCCGAATATTCGTGGACTTACGGTAGGGTACAAAAGTTGCATGTGTAGGGTGGAGAGATCAACCTGTCAATACATGACTAGGAACATGTACCAGTTACAGTACATGTCGTGTCGTTTCAGTCAATTGTGTTCTTTCCATGTTGAACAAACTTCCTGCATGCTCGCTACCGCAAGACATCCATTTCGTAAATGGTGGCATTGCAGATGCAAAGACTGATTTGAAAGCGAATTCAGTAATTTTGCTGACTAGCCGGACGACTCAGCCAATGAAGTTGAAACTATTGAACCTGCCCCAGCCGCTGCTTGGCCTGCGGAAGCTGGTAGAAAAAGAACACTTCCAGCAAATAAGACTGCTGCCAGTGCCAGCCACTCTAAAAGAAAAAAGGGGCACTGAGAGAAGGAGTTGAGAATATTGCCCAGCGCTGCCTGACTGACAGGGTTCCCTGGGGAGTTCTTGCAGCGGCGAAAGGGACGCTTGTTTCGTGGCGCGTGCCACGTTGTTCTGTCGGAAAAGAACAGCATAACAGGGTGACTAGCAGATGGCCCGTGCAGCAAGCAGCAACAAGGCACATCAACAACGTACCTCGATTTTTATGGAAATAATGTGCACACAGCACAATGTGGTCATCATTGTTTCGAAGAAACCGCGAGTCCACAGTCGAATCCACCTGAAGGGACATAACCGGTACACAGAAAACCATCACTAGCACCAGCAATATGTCACACGCAGGAAGTGAAGCAGAACTCACTTCTTCAATCTTCTGCATGTGTATCCGATGTGCCTTGCTTTCTGCTTGCACGAATTTGATGGCGTTCTGGGCAGCAACCGCAGTGGATTGCTTCTTCTGCAGACATGGACACATGAGAAGAGACACAGACACACACACACATCAGAAGAGACACAGACACAAACACACAGGCTTACACATAATATACATAAGACAGGCTGTGCACATTGATATCAAGCGACTCAAACTATACATAGGAACATGCATACATGCACACACATACACACACATACACACACTCTCTTTCTCATGCACACACGCACGCACGCACGCACGCACACACGTACACAACATACACATATACACACACGTACACAACATACACACATATACACACGTACACACATACCGTAATGTCGCGTATAAAAGCAGGTGCTCACAGCCGTATAAGCCGGGTTTCAAACCATGCTTCTATTCAAGTTATGCTTCTACATTGTATTCAAAACATGCTTCTACGTCAAGAGTATCATCAGTCTTCACTGTGCAGTGCATACTGCCACGCATGTACTTGCATGTGTCTTTGCCGAGAGCTGCTTCTATTCAAGTCATGCTTCTGTGTGACGGCGCGCTTCGAAAAAGGTCATGCTTTTATACGTGTCACTAGGGACAGTATACACATGCGTACATACACACATACACACACGTACACACACATACACACACACACACACACTATCACATGTGCATGCACACACACAGTGACACACACACACACAATGGCAGCTCACTTTCAGACTGTCCAGCTCAGCTATAACTGTGTTCGGAATCACAAATTTGAACCTGTGCTCCGGCAGCTGACGGCCCTCCAGGAGTGTCTTGGCCATTTGAAGGGAGTGAATAAGCACATTAGTGTCCACAACCAGAACAACACCCTGCCCTGGTGCAGTCTGCGTGCACCGAGAGACGAACAAAATACACAGTCAGTAGAACACAAGTTAGCAATGCCCAGTAAGAAGACAAAATGGACATCAGCAGATGGCATAGTGCTGCGTCCACAGTGCAAGTGCTGCATGCATAGTGCTGCATGCACAGTGCAGAGTGCAAATATACAGTGTTGCATCCACAATGCTGCATCCACAGAGCAAAGTGCAAAATATACAGTGCTGCACGCACAGTGCCGAGTGCACAATACATAGTCATGGTGTGTGAGAAAGAGGCCACACATAGACCATAGGTAGTGACTTTATTCCCTCGCACCCAGACGCTGATTTTTTGGAAACAAGTTTCTATACTTCCGATGGGAGAATCCGACGTGGCAGTGTATTTCGGCGTGGCCAGGTCAAATTGTAGAATATCGCATCGAGTGAATTGCTTTATCTGAGAGAGGAGATGTTCGTGCCCTTGAGACCCGAAGTCCCGTTTCCATACGACAAAATTTAGGAGCTCTGCGCTCAGCGCTTTTTCAGGGTATGAATTTCGGGTTGTTCTGGTCGGGTCGCAGCGTCGCGGACTATTCCATCGTCTTCAGCGTCGAAAAACTACTGGCCATGTGAAATTACAAGGCAGTGAGACGCTTTCGTCTTCCTCTACGAGCGAATTTGTTCTGCGCCAGCATACCTAAGTATGCAATTTCATACGCACAGTTCGAGTGACGAGGCGTGTGCACGTACACTGTACTGCATGCACGGACTGTGCGGTCGTTCTCGATTCTCCCATCGCTCCCATTCATTTCTGTTTCCAGCAAAAGTCCAACTTGGCGCACTTCAACTCACTATAACTCAAGAATGGCTGGGCCGATTCGAATAATACTTACAGATTTCCTATGTACTACGCCTGGGAGAATCGAATGAGACCAAAATCGAAGCGATCGGAGCAAGTTTTGGAAATTGGGTGTAGTCACTACCATAGGCAGTTAGGTGAAATACAAAGTCATGTTCCTTCAGGAACAAAAAAAGGGAGAAAGTCGGTTGCTTACAACATCGGACCTTGCGCTTTTCCAGCCACCTGACCACTTTATTACTACATGTACTATCAAAAGTATAACCCCCCCCCCCCCCCCCAAGAGTGTGCAACTCTCGAAAACTCACATCACGTGTCTCAGATACGTTCGCACTACGTACAAACGAAGGATAGCGTGCGCGCAATCCGAATAACTGCCATGATCATGCTGGGGATTCGCATACCCGCAGTGAGTTTCCGTCAGAGAGTGCTTTTTTATTATTCCGCAGCTCGCTAAAAACGGGCTGGAAACGTACAACTGCGACACTGCACCACGTGATGGGAGTTTTCGCCGACAGCGAACCCCATAGAAAGGGTATCAGGAGTTGCACACTCTTGGGGGGTTATGTACTCTTGGTACTATCACTAGGCTAACTATCACCCAAGTCAACACCACAAACTGGAAGAAAACATGGTTTCGTTCCCTACAGCCAGTACATACAACTAGTACACAATCATGTAACTATCCAAGCAGCAAAAACAAAGTCAGGTGGGAATGTACCAAACAGGGCATACAGATGATGAGCACGGAGTAAACACCAGAGTTCAGCGTTTCATCAAATAGAGCAGGATACAAGAACTAGATGCTCTGCTTTAGAGTTGGCGTTGGCTTACATTATTGACTGGCACTTCGCCAACCTCCATGTTCTCTTCATTGCTGCAGGTGTCCATCATGGCTACTGGTGCTTGCTGCTGCAGCTGCTGCTGTCTGGCTAGGTCCATTTCCATCACAGGGACAGTCTCTTGCGATGTGGTACTGCTTGCGGACACTACCGAGCTCACAGATACTGGGTCTCGGACAGCAGAAACATACTGCCACGCACAAAGCAAACAAACAAAAACAATAAATTTCGACTATGGACTTGGATCTCGGGTCCAGGATATATTATGGCCAACAAAGGTGACAAGGAAGATGAAATGTTACTCTAGCAGTCTGGCGTCGCATTGCCTGTGATTTCTGGCACGTGCATATAGTAGAACTGTACAGAAATGGTGGCTAGAGAGGACCCAACGCGCCGTTTCTATCACCAGAGTGGCAGGAAGCCGACACAATCATGGTGTGATGTCGCTTGCATTGTTTTGCCTGCGACTTTCTCAGGTGGTGTGATGCATGTTAACTGGTCCACAGCGCACTACTTCTAGCAAAATTAGGACAGATTTGCCATGGCGAAATGTGTGGAGAAGCAGATCCCAAACCCAGATTTTTTAGATTTAAAGTGGGTTTTTGATCCATAATTCGGCCCAAATCGGACTTTCAAATGCCAGCGGGACCGTTTCCGATGAATGGACTGTAGATGTGCTAGACGCTGTCTACATTGCCAAACTACAACCTCAGCTGTGTAGCCAGAAAGAATGTGTGAGGAAGCTAGTGCTATTTTTGATTTCCCACCTGCTTGTTATAGTACTCTTTGGCGCAATTAGCACCATCATGCAACTTGTGTACGTTTCATCACCATTTCACCGCCGATAAGCTGTATACATTGACACTGTTGTACTTCGTGCAATTAGTACCCCCATGATTGTACTGATTGGAGATGTAATAGAACGAAATGCCTCATCAGGCTCACAACTGGCTTCGTCTTTCATCTGCTACTAAGCCCATTGCGCAATGACGTACAAGTAATAATTATGTACCGCGAACACAGCCACCTGGGCATGGTCGTCTGGGGGTGTTGAACAGTGCATTGCTGATCCCAGCGTACTCACATAACACCCCACACAGCCACCTGGGCATGGTCGTCTGGGGTGTTGAACAGTGCATTGCTGATCCCAGCGTACTCACATGCATTACTCATACCTTCCATATTTGGCAATGCGCAATGGGCGTATACAGTACGGAAGAGATGTAGAAACACCCACAGCGACTTACTGGTTGACTATAGCTAGTAGCTGATTGAATGTCCATTGGAACTGGCCGTGCTGTGTTGCGCATAGCAGGTGCAGTAGAAGGGCTGTTCACTGGCTGCAGCGTGTCGGTGCTCATGGCGTGCCCTGGTGGACGACTTGGTATGGTGTAGTTAGCCAAGAAGGACGCGTCATCGCCACTAACTCCGCCCCTGCTACCAGCGACAGTGCGAGCAGGATCAGCCGCAGTGGCAGGAGAAGCAGTCACTGGACGTATAGATCGCCTGGTCAACTCACCCACCGGAGGCATGCCAGGACGGGACAGCTTGTCGGGTGTAGGTGGCTCTGCAGCGCTGGCCAGCACGTTTCCAGTCCGCGGTGAGCAAGGTCTGTCAGTCTTGGCTTTCAGCACACTTTTGATTTTGCCCGCATGGCTCTGCGTGGACGGGTTGGTCTTCCGGGATAGCACGGAAGTGCCCAGCCTGCTAGATTCTGTCTGCGTGGCTGGTTGTCTCATTTCATGTGCTACAGCAGCAGATGGACGGACTGCTGCTGCTGCTGTTGCTGTGTGCTTATCATTAGTAGTAGAGCTCGTACCAGCGCTACTACCAGGAGAAACCGACAGTGTTGAGGACGTGGAAACTGCTGATGACGGCGGTCTACTGTAAGGTTTCAGAGAGCTATGCACACCAACACCAACACCAACACCAACACCCCGCCGTTCTCTACGGGACTTCCTTGATGGAGATGAGTCTGTTGCTGCTGTTCTTTCGCTGCCTTTGGCTGTAAGGTCACAACTCAAAACTGACCCGGGCGCAGGAGAATTCTTGAACATGCTTTCACTGGCCTCGTCACGAGCTTCGTTGCACGGAGGATCTGGCGTGCGGTGAGGTGGAGCAGTAGTCGGCAGGGTGAGCGGCGAACTGGTGGGCAGTTGAGTGGTGTGCTGGCTGCTAGCTGGACTTAGCAGCACTGGCGAAGGGATTGCAGTATTTCTACTACTTCTACTACCAGGGGATACCTTCGCAGTATCATGGTGGGCTGCATGTCCTTCACTAACGCTAGTTAGAAAACGTGTGGAGTCATCGACAACGCCATCACTGCCACGATTACTTGCACTTGCCGAGCTGACTGCATCTTGGACTAGCGTAGCATGCATGTGCTTTCCAGAGTTTGCCTTGGGTTTGGCACCAGCTGAACTGGCCAGCAGTTGAACATTGGCTGTGGGAACAGTCATCCGCTGCCGTGCCCTGTGCTTCTCGGCCTTGACCTTAGCCAAACGCTGAGGGGCAGCATGTGTCCTCTTGCTTGTACCCGCCCTTGGTGAAGCCTGTGCACAGGGCAGATGCAGAGGTACAGCAGTAAGCAATGCGCCACACAGAACAGACAACCCAAAGCCCCTGCTGGTACAAAACTACTTAGAAGCAATTCTATAGTATAGGCTATAGGAGGCTGACTACTAGTATGCCATACAACACACGTGTGCTGGCTGATTATGCTAAGCAAGACTGAAGTTTGGACATGCTCTCAACGGGCAAATCCCCCTCCTCTTCTCCCCATGCACACACTCGCAAGTGCACGTGCGCGCACACACACACACACACACACACACACACACACACTGTTGTGCAGTTGTGACATCACCTACTCCTCACCCCCCCCCCTCCCTCTTCTTGCAGATACACGTACTTCCTGACTCCTAACTCTGACGCATGCCTGTCCACACAAAACCGATGAAACGGCCTCTGACCATCTCTATCAGGTTTCCAAACAATTCAGGTTCTAAGCAAGACAATAACTCAGAAGTTGCGACGGACTCGGCCATTTGAAACTAATTTGAAACTGTCCACCTCTGCACACTGCGCTCTTGGCCCACATTCGTGTTAAGAGAACTTCTCGCCGGGCAACAGAGCATGAAGGGCACTCTCGATGATGTTTCCTTGAAGATTGCAGCCATTACGCTCGATTTGACGAATGTCAAACAAAAAGTTGAGAGCCTAGAGAAAGGCACGAAGCAGAATGAGTTGAAAATCAGGCAATGCATGGAGGATGTCGGATCAGTGAAAGTCCATACCGAAACAGACATAAAACGGATTCGACAAGAACTAGTAGTGCTTTCCGAGAAAATCGGTTCTCTTAGTGACGCTGCCGCCGTCACTAAAGCGAAGATCAATGATGTCACGTCCAATGCAAATGATCAGTCCGCGACTGGAACAACACATTTCGTGAAACGGGCGGAAGTGCAAGCCCTGTTGCAAGAGCAACATGATGTTATGTCTCGATCCAATAGCATCATCTTGTTCGGGTTGCCTGAGTCTGTGAGTGCAGTGCCCACAACATGCAGGAATGTGATGTCAGAAGCTGGTGTTTCTCTTCCCGAAGACACCACGATCGAGAGGATCGGCAAAAAGGCAACCACCACCGACAGTGAAACTCGCCCCCGACCAGTACGCATCCGTACGTCGATGTCGATAAAGGACGCAGTTTTCCGGCACCGGTTCAAACTGACCTTCCTCGACAGGCCGTTGTATGTGGGTCACGACCTGACCCCGCACCAACAGGCGGCGAGAAAGGCTGTTGTTCCCCTTTTTCGGACGCTGCGAAAGAAAGGTGTGACCTGCTCGCTGCCGTACGACAAGATAGTCCAAGGAGGAGTGCCTTTGCCGGATGAGCGTATCGCCCAGCTCCTACAAGACGGCAACGCATAGGACAGCGCTGGCCCAGTGGCAAAGGCAAGTGATCCCGCTGTCAATGTATATACTACTCACATTAATAATTTTACTCACTTCTTCCATATGAATGCATGTGATGAGCACCCCTCCTCTTCTTCTTCTTGTTCTATTTCCCATGTACATACTACACCACTCCACCACAACATTAGTTTGCAGAATAGCACCATGCATTCAGGCTCTTTGGTCATATGCACTCTGAACTGTCGCAGCATGCAGTCAACATTAGTTCAACTCATCGACTTGATTGAGCAGCACCACATCGATGTCCTCTGCTTGACGGAAACATGGCTAAATAGCACTACACCCGACGAAATAGTATCAGTTCCAGAGTTCGACCTTCACCGACGGGACAGGGACAGTGTTCAAGTAAGTTGGAACACACTGGGAGGTGGAGGAGTTGCCATACTGAGTGCGTCACATCTCTCAGCACGCCGTCGCACGGACCTAGAGCACCAGTCATCAGAAATGATCACACTTCAAGTCAATGGTATCATTATTTCATGCATGTACCGGCCACCACGTCATCACACCTCCTCTTTCAAGCATGCATTCTCGGTTTTGTCTGAGGTGGTGGACAACAGCCCACTAGTGGTTACAGGCGACTTCAATGCCCGAAATGAGGAGTGGAACACGAACGATAGAACAAATACAGACGGTCGTGCGCTAAATTCTGTTTTCAATGATCTTGGCTTGAGTCTGGTGTCAAAGAATTGTGGCACTCGACCGTCCAGCCATTCGAATCCATCACTAGATTTGGTATTATCAAATGCACCTGATGTCTTTGACAATTGCATTGTAGGGATGCCACTGACGGACCACTGCCCTGTCATATGCTCCGCATCCTGGTCAGCACTGTCTGCAATCTATCGCTCAGTATCAGGAGCAACCAAGGGTCAGACTAGGGAGAACACCACAGAGAAACGAACAATCAATTTCAACAAGTTGCGCACAATACTCAGTACTATGCACTTGGAAGAGTGTATACTTGGGGAGGACGTGCACATTGACTACAGATGCATGGCACTGTGCTCATCGTTAGATCAAGCCATCGCACGGTCCACCCTCGTGACTAACAAAACCTTCCGTGTGAATACACAGCCTTGGTTCACTTCCTCGCATAGAAAAAACCGTCAACGAGTCTCACGCCTGTACAAACTTCACCGCCGAGACCTACACAATCCGACGCTTAAAGCAGCATACATTCTCTGCAGAAACGAGTACCGCAACACCATACGGAAAGCTCGAGACTCGTATTTGTCTACACTGGGGACATCGAGGCTAAGCAAAGGCAGAGCAGGCGGCTACTCGTGGTGGAAAAGAGCAAAGAAGATATGCAACATTGGCAGTAAGCCGCGTGGAATACAACTTCTCGCGGATGATGACGGCACCCACACATCTAGCAAAGCCAAAGCTGAAATCCTTTGTGAATTCTTCAGGAAGCAATGCACCGCAGATTCCCCAAATCAGCAACCAAGTCGTTGTCCATCATCCAGCACCATTGATGACCAAGAGCCATTTTCGTTCACAAAAATCAAATCCACAGATGTCTATGAAGCTGCAAGAACATTGTCTGTGCACAAATCATCTGCTGACAGTTACCTATCAAATGCCGTCCTCAGCCGCTGTGCAGACATCCTGTGTGTACCTCTGGCTACACTATTCAACTACAGTCTTGAGCAAGGCGAGTTCCCTTCCGCTTGGAAGATGGCCACGATTATCCCAGTGTACAAGGAGAAAGGTTGCCCAACTCACCCTACGAACTACCGCCCAATATCCCTCCTCCCCTGTATAGCAAAACTCTTTGAAAAAATAGTAGCGAAACAACTCCAGGCTTACCTAACAATAAAACAGAAGATATGCAGTCAACAATACGCGTACGTGAAGGAGAAGTCTGCGACAGACCAGCTTATTATACTTACCCAGCAAATGGCCGACTACATTGATGAGCGTCTGAACTTCGACCTGGTCTCCCTAGATTTCTGCAAGGCATTTGACAGAGTAAGCCACTCAACTCTCCTCCGTCAAGTCAGCAACTTCTCGGACCATAAAGTCACTGCCTGGACTAAGAGTTATTTGCAGGATCGAAGCATAGCCGTGAAGATTGAGTCATGCATGTCAGTGCCCAAAGTCACCAACTGTGGTGTTCCCCAGGGATCGCATCTGTCTCCTCTACTGTTCGTGATCTACATTAATGACCTACCAGAAGCCATACATCATTCGCACACCTTCTTGTTTGCGGATGATGTCACTCTACTTTTGCCGTACAAAGGCTCTCTGTCAAGTCCTGGTATCCAAGCGGACATTCATGCATGTCAAAACTGGGCCAGGGAAAGAGGCGGAGAGTTTTCGCCCTCAAAAACTTCTGTTTTAAGCTTCCGTTATAAGCCAGTGGCAGCATCATCACCAGCACCAACATCTGCCACCTACACTATGGAGGGTCTACCTCTTCCCAGTATTGACATCCTCAAACATCTGGGAGTTCGCTTCAGTGCAGACCTAAACTTCCGTCAACACTACCTTGACATCAGTCGCAAATTCAAGCAGAGAGTAAGCCTACTTTGTCACATGGCACATCGTCTTACACCGCAGGCCATGATGCTCCTCTACAAGTGCTATGTTAGACCTGTGATTGAGTATAGCGTCGTAGTGTGGTCCTTTCGTCTTCGTTCAAGCGACTTGACTGAGCTGGATAGAGTCCAGGCCAGGTTTGCAAGATCCTACCTTAGGAAACGCAAAATCCAAATCGACTTTAATACACCCAAGCAGGATCTTAATAAAAAAGCTAACATTGAATCCCTTCTTTACCGCAGGCAGTTTTTAAGCTTGGTTACCATGCACAAATTTATTTTCAAGTATCGACGTTGCCTAGCTTCATTCCATTTCAATATCACGCAGAGTGCGAGACGCCCTAACAAAATTATTCTCCCTAAAGCAAAGACCACATCAAAATCGTTGTTTCTCTTCCAAACCTCCCTCTTATGGAACTGCCTCCCACCAAGACTAACTGCAGAACCATCCATTATTGTTTTCAAGAATGAGCTTCGCAAACTCACTTGCAAACATAGTGCTTCGCTCTCCGGTATGCCTACGCCATGTACATAACCCCCCCCCCCTCCCCCCCCCCCCCCCCCCCCGTGTGCTCCCCAACGCATTCACGCTGCACACCTTTTCACTACTTTCACATTAGCTCATACGTGTACATGTACATCCTTCAAAGCGGTGAACCCCTTGATAGGCGACAAGCCTCTGGGTCATCCTAATAAAGATTATTATTATTATTATTATTATTATTCACCACACCATAGCAAGCTCTCAATGAAGATACGGAACATCTATCCAAGAATGAACTTCCTGGCTATGGTGTGGTGAATGTGGGCCAAGAGCGCAGTGTGGAGAGGTGGGGTTCTAAGCAAGGCACTCAGTACATGTACCTGACTGGATATTGCTGCCAAGGCATTCGCTACAGTGGAGATGTGACGTGCTCTAGCGGCATCAGTCACAGTGGACACACCAGGCGATGATGGACTGCGCTGGGATACTGGTGACTGACATGTAGGCACACTCGGAGGAGAAGAAGCAGATACAGGCCATCGGCCAGTGGCGCCTCCAGCACTTCGCACTGGCGAAGCGGCACCTGCAGCATTTCGCACTGGCGAAGCTCTGCTAGGACTGGCAGGGACAGATGCTAGGCGTTCTTCGTGCGTGGACGTCAATGCAGCTGTCGGCACTGCTACGGTAGACGGTGGCGGCCGTTTGCTCCTCGTTGTCTTAGGACTCTTTGCAACTGCTTGTACCTAGAAGAAATCGCACACAGCACAGTAGCCGCATACAAGAAAATCAAATCAGCAATACAACATCCTAGTCTGGCATGTATAGTGCATTCCATAATTTAGATCCACACTACACATCCATAAGCACTAAGATACACAGTTTTAGTGTGCATTTTAAAGCTTCAACTTTTGGGCAATTTTCTCCGCTCATCATGCGAGAATTTCCATTTCGAATGACATGCATGGCAATTCACCATGCACCAGTACATGTAGATAAGTGTGTGCTGGGACTGAACCACGGGAAACTAAGGGTCGGGTTTACATGGCATAACTGTAAATCACTGAAAGCGGTTGAACATCTATGCTCCAAAGGATAGAAAGAACATCTATGCCCCAAAGGATAGCTCCAAGACAGAAGCGGAACTGGTACGGTCTGATTTATTTTTTAAACAAAATTCCGCTACACAAACTGTACAGTTATCACTGTATGTACCGGTACATCATATTATCGGCTTTTGCCCGGGTTGTTCAAAGTGTGTACATTATTACATGCTGAACAGCGCGGGCGCGTGTGGGCGTGCGTGTGAAGGTAAAGCCAATAGGTACTCCATATCCATCTCATCGACTTTAAAGACAAGACATATGAGTGATGTCTATTTTGCGGCAAACGTCACATTCGAGGTAGACTTCCATTGCTTTCCTCGTCATCTTTTCCTCCCCAGCACTGCCAGGTATTCATCAAGGCTGAGTGGATCTAGGAGTGTTTACGGGATTCGACCTGCTGTAGTATGCTCAAATCGCAGTTTGAGAGTTGGCTAGAAGTCCAACAAATCTTCCCTGCAGTTTTACACACCGTTACCTTCTTGAAATGCACATGCCACGCTTGCTGGAATAGTGTGCACTTTTCATGTGCTATTTCAGGGTGACACATACTGTGACATAGGTCATGGCAACGAAGATTGAGACGACGTCACACGTTTTCATGCCGGGTCGGCAATCATCAGGTGAAAAATCATTATATTGCTCAATAATAATATTATAATTATGGTAGCACTCAAGTACGGTGGATGCCAAAATAATCGCAACAAATCATTTTCGGATAGGCTTCTCACGCTATACGGCCCGACGCTCTTTGTCTATGTATTTTCACCTTGAACATGGCACCAACCCCGGGTAGTTTGTCTGACTTTCCCTGGCACCGACTGTAAATATGATGCGGCGAAGATCGCTGATACTTCAAAAAGCATGTGTACGTACCCGGTACGTGCTTCAAAGTACATGTACTATTATAAAGTAAAGTTTGCACATCCGCGTTACCACCGGCTTACGATTGTGTTGAGAAACACAACCAGCTTAGAGTGTTAGCAAGTCAAAATGTGGCAATTTGATCAGTAAAGAATCTTGTACAAGTCCTGTGACATGCAAGTACATGCAGTACACTGTATACGTACTGCAGATCTCTACAGCACAGTACCTGTGTATGGCATGGTGCAGATGTGCGGCAAGCCAGTGCACTGGGCCTTGTCCACTGCCTCTGCTTGGTGACTGAATTCCAATAGTAGACTTTGCCCTGAAATTTACCAGCCTCCGATTTGAATTTCCACCAGGGACCATGAAGGTGCTCTCCTCGGCCAAGGCCCGGGAAATCTTTGGTGTTACTCATGGCCTTTTTAACGCAAAATGTATTCTTTGAGCCGTCAACGACACAAACAATTACTATGGGGCGAAGAAATCATCAAGGCAACCCGCCTGAAACGCAAATAAATCTCGGGTTTATTTGTTAGAGAGAGAGAGAGAGGCTAGAAATACACTGATAGACAAACTTGTCACTGCAATCCTCCTTCTTTCCCAACTCTGCAATGAAGGAGAAAGCCAACGATGCAAAACTGAATTGAAAACAAAACTGCATGCGAAGTACATTTTTGTAATTCAAAATTTGTGAGGTCAACAAAGGGGAATTCCCCTAAAGGGAACACCCGGGCTAGTCGTGTGAGTGTTGGTTCTATCAATGGTCTATCGCCCTCCCCTCCCCTATCTGGGCACATACTAGTACTATTACTAGTAACCAGGGAGGTGGGGGGGGGGGGGGGGGGCTCTGCTGGAGCTGTATAGTACTGTATACCATGGTATACATGCAGTGCTCAAAGATAGGCCATAGGGAGTCGAAAATAGTGATCAGTACAGCTGTGAAAAGTAGTAAAGTAAAGTGCACGGGAGAGCATTGGCAACATGATGAGTGACACCAGCTAGCGGCGAAAAACATCACGGCCAGTGGCTGCGTGTGTCGCATGAACCCACGCCAGTATTTCATAGCACATTTGAAGTCCCGGGAGACTGAGAGTATTTCAAGATCAAAATAATCATCTTTGGACAGTGTGCACCGCTCCCCGCCCGAGGAGGGCCTCAGTAGAGCCTACAACTGTAGCTAAGTTGTGACACTTGTACACATGAACACCAGTAGGCAGTAGTAGTTACTGTAACATGAGGAGAATAATCTGCGAGTCTATCATACACGTACAGTACTCCATAAACACATTGACAAAATTAGTTTTAAAAATCAACTTGAGGAAATTTGAAATCTATAATTATCATTTGCAAGATAATTGACGAGACCCAGCAGCCTAAGAAGAAGGAGTTATAAACAACTATCATCATCGGCGATGGTGACAGGAACGACGCATGGCTTCAGAGCTCAGAATGGTCACGCGGCCCTAGCGGTTATCATGGCTACAACATGGGCATGTAATACTTCGAATATCAAAACTTACTTTCATGATTCAATATAAATCCGAAGAGGCAAAGAGCCCTCCCCTCTCTTCAGAAGCCAAAGCAAGTTCAACAATATAAGTACACGCGCAGCATGAATAATATTGACAAAAATATTTGCTTTGAAATCTTCAAGTCCAATCTGCAGCAAAGCAATGCTTGCAAATTGTTTGTAAAAATTAATAGATAAGGGTGTTGACCATTTGAAGCCAAGTACCTTCTGAGGCAACCTTCACACACAATGCCCGGAAACCTGCGTCCAATGCCAGCAGCAGCTCCACGACTATGCTGTTACTCTCCTAAGTAGAAACTCAATAGCCGGTATCCAGCAGTAGCTCAGACCTACGTGTTAGACGTCAACGGAACAGCACACGGAACATATCTACCACAAAGTGCCAGGCGGACAGTTTCTACAAAACAACGATCGCGCCTAATCCTGGCGATTTTCTTAAGTCGGCAACAATAAACGCTAGCAGTCCACCATAATGTTATGGGTAGGGTCCTCAGAGAATCAGGAACTGTACTAGTATGGTAAGACACGCTCAACTCACGGACACGGACACGCACAGAAGTGCATTTAGAGCATGCTTACTCAAATGCCCAAACCCTACTGAGACTGGATAAATACTGTCTTCGAGGATAATCAGCTTGTTCTGGCCAGAGTGCACGGTAGACACGCTACTCCTGACGAAGGCTGCGCCAGTCATAGCGAGGATTAGGAGCGTGCGTGAGTGTCGGGAATGGCGGGCACACAAGTTGCCACGTAGCCTGCGCTCCGCTCCCATTCTCCTCCATGGCAGCAACACCACAGTACGGCACCTTTTGCACGAGTGACGTTAGCTCCTGGGCAGAGCGGGGAACAGAGCCGGTCATTTGACGTGAGCAGGCATCCAGTGTACCGGCGTGGCCGATGAGGAGGGTATGTCCACCACCCTCCTCTCTGCCTTTGCTCAGGAGCTGTTGCGTAACTTTGTGACTTCGCCTATAGTAGTCTTCCGGCTTTTCCTTGGCATTCATCTGGCTGATATGCATGATGGCCTTGTAGGATGTGTCCACTTGCAGACCAGACGCAGCCATTTCCTCGGCAGTCATGAACGTGGGGATTCCGTCGCGACACCAGGCCAGCCACTCAAAGAGACCGTGCTCGATGCGAATCTTGCGCTTCGTCTCGCCCATGCCTTTCAGGATGGCATCGGCGGTCTGTACACAGCGCAGCGCTGGTGAGCTGTAGATGTGATTGATGGGAATCTCCTGCTCTGACATGGCCTCGCCAGTCAGGCGCGCCTGCACCATGCCAACCTCCGTGATTGGCGTGTCGCCCTTGAAACTAGCAGCGCCGCCCTTGCGAATGGGAACGGTCTTGGGCATGTTGAGATTTCGCCGGTGATAGGAGTTGTCCTTGTCAAAGCTGTACTGCAGCCACTGGTGACCAAAGGTGATGTCAACGCGCTCGGCATGTCGAATCATGATAACCAGACGCGGACCGACCGGTTTGGCCTTCGGTTGCTTCTGAATCTGTGCGTATCCATTGGCGGGGTCAAAATCCTTTTTGCTGGGATCAGGATCGGGGTGGATCGACGGCCGTGAGCGTGGCTTATGGCCCACCGTTCTCGGCTCCTCTCGGGTTTCTACTTCGCGGGCAATGCGCCAGGAGCGATGCATAGTCCAGCACTCCGTCTCGGCACACTTCTCTACATAGTTGCCGGGAAAGACGCCGGTAACGCCTGTCATGAACGACGTACCCACGTACCAGCCCTCACTTTCCGCCACCGCCTTGTCACCAGCCGGCAAGAGCATGAAGTCGTCCTCGTTGAGCTCCAGCTCATCGTCGTTGCGCGGGTTTAGGCTGTACAGAACACGGTAGACTTCTGCCGAGCCGACGCGGGGATCGCGGGAATAGAGCCGCAGCTCCCACTTGCCCGGTGCGTCCGGCTTGACTTTGCGGCAAAGCGTCTCCAGCGTTTTCTGCTGGTCCGAGTGGAACTGGTATGCCAGCGTCATGTGCAGCTGTTTCTTGTGCGGCTCCATCTTCACACCAACCTTTGGCAGCTCACCGGCAATGCGCTGCACTATAGTCTTTAACCACTTTGTCGCCGGCTGGTCCTCGAGAAACAAGCCGATGTAGGAGCCGGATGAGTAGAAGCTCAGGTCGAATTTCTCCGGTGGCTCGCCCATGCCCTGAACGCACGTCGCAACGGCACGCATCACCTGTGGTAGCTTGCTGTCCTCGCCGGAGAAGAACTGGCAGAGAGTGATGTGCGGGAACGACTTGTGCGCACCGTTTCGACCGCACTGAGCCAGGCTCTCGGCCCACAGGTCTTCCAATTGGCTACCCAGCTCGCCACCAGGGCTGGCATACAGCACGTATTCTCGAGCTATTGGCTTGTCCAAGTCAGGATCGAAGACGTGAGCCAGGATCCAGTCAGCTGCTGCCTGCACGCCCTGAGCACCAGTGGCAGCCAGAGCCTTTTCAGCACGGTTCTTCGGGAAGCCCATCTCCACCAGCACAGCTAGCGCATCACTAGCCTGCCGGATGGTGCTCGCTCGGTTGCGAGGCCTCGTCGCTGTCGGAGCAACTGGATGTGCTGTCGCCATCTTTCCAAACGGGCTGCAAATAGCTAGCCCGCGAACTTTTCTTCAATACAAATACTAAATCTATGTTCGCCTTCGATCTGGGTGTGTCATGGATCTACGGCCCTTTCCCAATTCCCAAACGAAAGGCCTTTACTGCACGGTTACAATCCACCTCCGGACGAAAGACAGGCTATTCAGCTGCTAGTGAAAAGCGAACGATGAACACAACAGGCCCTCGTGGTTCGTGTTCCACCTTCAGGCTCAGTACTTCCAGAGCTGCTGCTGCTACAGCTACTTCGCTACTTGTGCGTTAGCTAGTGTCGATCGAGGACACTCGCTAGCTGGAACTGTTGAGTGCACGTGCTGCAGCTTGATTCAACGGAAGACTCAAGAGGTAAGTGCGGGCGGCGAGCAATAAGGCTTCTCTCCAGATTGCCTGGCGGATCACAGCATGCTGTGGGCTAAAAGGAGAGACACGTGTGTGTGAACAACACAAATCCAGGAGAGCTCGAGAGGTGAGAGTGAAGCTAGAAAAAGATTGAGAGCCTGCAGACGAACTACGAGGGGACTTCCGAGGCAGCGAACACTGCCAGCAGGGTTTGAGCCACCTCCAAGTCCTCCTAGGAATCCTAGCTAGCTAGCTCCCTGCCAGGCTGTAGTGTAGGCTGAGTGAAGCAGTCACTGGCATGATCATGATGATGGGTGAGCGATGTGCCCCTGCAACACCAGCTCGGCCCCTTGCCCTGATCATCACGCAGCCGTGTCGACATCTAGCCTTCTATTCCTAATCTAGGTCACCCATACCAGTGGCAGTGTCACCTGGTCACTACAATAGTGGCGTAGTGCACACCGTGACACACGTCTTCACTGACTTCGGCGACTTTCTCACGGCAGTGCAGTGCCACCACTGCATGCACGTCACTAGCACTGTCGTCAGTGCACCGATACAGACAGTGATCTGGTGATACTGGAAGACAGTGTCCTCTGATCTGCGTCAGTGGCTGTACTGCTGTTTCAAACATATCACGTGCTTGTTGCCATCCGACGGCCAATCAGCATCGACTTGTACCAGGGCAGAAATTGTGTGTATTGCCTGGACTACGGCATGGCAATGCCCTGCTAGCATGCTACGGAGTACGGTGACATCCCCTGCATGCATGCTAATTGCTATGCAAATGCCAGGCTATGGTGCCATCTATCAGCGTAGCTCGGCAAGGGTCTGTGGCACTGGCAGTTTTTCGTTGTCAGCTCAGTTCGCATGTACATTCGACTGTGAACTGACGTTACTTGCTCTGGTAAGCGAAATAAAAGAGCATGCACCCTATCTATCT